GTCATACGACAACGCTTGAAGACGCCCTGTTTGAGTAACGGGGGGGGCGGCTAAGAGTAAGGTTGTATGTGGGAAGGAGGGTATCTTTTTTTAATGAGGTGGAGGATTGGTGTTTGGCCGTAGCCATAGTTTAATTATCGAATCCAAACTGTACTTAGTAAAATGTATTGGTCGTGTCGGTGTCGGTGGCATATCGAGCAAAACCAATAAATATTACGTTTAATACACTGTGTAATACTGATGTCAACACTTTGAAAGCTCGCAAAGTCCTGCTCCAGCTGGCTGTCCAGTTTGCCAAGACTCGACGTCCCTTGCCCCCCCCCCCAAGCGATATACCTCAAGGTATGAGCAGCAAATAAAGTCTGTAAAGATAAAGTATACACCCTATCAGTCAGCTTACAGGGTTAATAACAGCACTGAAACAGCGCTGTTTAAAGTTGTAAATGATATCCTTATAGAATCAGATGTTGACGATTAAAGTTGTAATGCTAAATCTATTTGATCTGTCGGCAGCTTTCGGCATCATTGACCATGTAATTTTACTAAAAGGATTTTTTAAAAAGGACATATTTTGACCTTCATGGTTTTTCTCTCTAATGGTTCAACAACTATTAATTGTCAAGTCGCTGGCAACCTTTTGTGATGAAAGGCATCAAGTCACAAAAGGCCATTCTTAAGTTTGTTCTTCCATGAGGTTCAGTTTTAGGCCCAGTACTATCCACAATGTATACACGACCACTTGCTGCCGAAATACAAAAGTGTCAACTCAGCTACCACTATACGCTGATGACACACAGATAGAGTAAATAATATGGCTCTTTTCATCCATGCCACACTGATGAATTCATAGAAAGAGTAGAGAAATGCATTGAAAAAGTGAATAAATGGCTGTGTGAGAATAGATTAATGCTGAATCAAGAAAAAATGTCAACCATCCTATTTGGGAGTTCCAAAAATCATATTGATGATAATAGAAGCCAATTAGAAATTAACGATACTACTATATCCTTTTCCAGAAAGGCCAAGAACCTTGGTAGGCCTATCTATCAAGATTCAGATATATCCATGAACAGTGAAATAAATCACGTCACTCGATGTATGTACCTTGATCTCAGAAGAATCAGTAGGATAAGACACCTTATTTCCAATGATATTGCATGCATGCTCTCTGTCTCTCTTGTCTTGTCAAAACTTGACTATTGCAATTCTATTGTGTCTTGTATCTCATGTGAAAAAAATAAGGAAATTGCAAGTGGCCCAAAAGAACACAACAAGACTAGTACTGAAGAAAAATAAGAAAGATCCACCATCAAAAATGCTAAAATCTCTGTACTGGCTTCCAGATGCGAAAAGAATCCAATTAGAAGTTCCTACCATCTGTTATAGAATGTAATGTCTTAACAATAACACCCAATCAAATCTGTCTGAGCTTTTAACATCACATGTTCCATTCCGACATTAACGGTAATCCACAGACGCAACAAAGTTCAGAGTCCCTAGAATGAAAGATCTTTTGGTGAGAAAAATGTCTTATATTTTGGCCCTAGAATTTGGAACTCCTTGTCCCTGTACCTTAAAGCAATAACAAATTCCTAATAGTAATAGATCTCTACGTTTAAGCGATTGCTCAAGACTCATAATTTGTTTAATTCTTAGTTGTAGTGTGTTAATAAATACAGATAATTTTTGGGGTTTTTTTTACTATTGTCCTTACGAGTATATAATTGATGTATAGTTGAGAAAGTTCTTGTTTATGTGGTTGAACTGGTTTTCTTGTTCCTATGAAATGTTTTATCTTATGTGAATGAAGTATTACTCTCAATGATAATGTGATCAATATAAAACGCTCAGGGCTTATATGGTATGGGCTAGCGCGCTATAAAAATGCAATATTTTATTATTACTGTTTTCATATTATTACCTTTATTTCTATTATTATTACTATTATTATATTGGTATTGGTATTATTAGTTTTATTATTGTTGGTGGTGATTTTTACAGGATTTTTGTTATCGCACTCATAAGTAGTCTGAATCCCAGATTGCGTATCTTTGTCTGTCTACTGGTATTCCGCGCCTCTCTCTCTCTCTCTCTCTCTCTCTCTCTCTCTCTCTCTCTCTCTCTCTCTCTCTCTCTCTCTCTCTCTCTTTCTCTCTCTGTGTGTTGACACAAAGGTTCAAAGCAGCCAGCCTCCTACATGTTTATAAATTGCGCCGAAGGGGTGCCAAGTGCCAACGCTGTGAAGATTTTGCGCAAAATCCTCTCCCTATGCCGTATTCCACTGCGAGTTATCAGTATCTATACATTTTATGCTGCAAGAGGAGCAAAAACAAGACGGTCTGAAGTCTGGGGTGAATGGGGGCTTGGCTTCTGTCTGTTTCCTCAGCCCAAGCCCGTCTCTCTCTCTCTCTCTCTCTCTCTCTCTCTCTCTCTCTCTCTCTCTCTCTCTCTCTCTCTCACACACACACCCTGCACCCCCCCTACCCCAGGTGAGTCAAGGTCTCTGACTCCGTCATATCCCCCACACCGCTGACAGCTGACAGAGGTAGAGAGGCGGAAGTGGGAAGTGTTCTAAGACACAGTGATAAAGAGGTGACACAGACCAGGAGGCAATTGACACCACGGCAGGACAGTCAAATATGTGTCTTTTGTCTATTAATATTATCATTGTTTTCATTATTGTTATCAATATCATTATAATATTTTTTAGTAGTAGTAGTAGTAGTAGTAGTAGTAGTAGTAGTAGTAGTAGTAGTAGTAGTAGTTGCAGTAGTAGTAGTAGTTGCAGTAGTAGTAGTAGTAGTAGCAGTAGTAGTAGTAGTAGTAGTAGTAGTAGTAGTAGTATCATCATCATCATCATCATCATCATCATCATCATCATCATCATCATCATCATCATCATCATCATCATCATCATTGGTAGTGGTATTCGCTAACGTTTTTGCAATCGTCTCGTTCTTATTTTTTAATATTGTTTTAATAATATACATGTTTACAGTGACCACTCCTCGCAGGCTTATTTCATCGTGGCCTGTTTGGTGTACGTAGACATGTAGGCCTACACTAATTACAAACTAATTATCATAAATAGTAAGTTTTGTATGATAGTCGCATTTACCTGTCGCGTCGCACAGTCTGAAATATCAGTCTGGCAAAACCCTTTTATTCATTTATTTTCAATTTTCTTTAGTGGGGATGGGGGAAGGGCCTAAGAACATTATCTGACTCACACACTTTGAGGACGCTCCAGTAGCTCAGTGGGTAACGTACTGGACTACGGAGGTGATGCCCTGGTTCGAAACTCAGACACAATTCCGTTATATATGTATAACGTCTGGAGTCTGGAGCATCTCTCCCGGCTGACGCCATGGCGATCCTAATTTTCCGACTTGGGTATACTATATACTGGGGTAAGTAAGTACCGAACGGAGGGTCAAAGTTTACTTTTACCGAATGTAAAGAAGCCCAAGAAACAATCATGACCAGATAGATAGATAGATAGATAGATAGATAGATAGATAAATAGATAGATAGATAGATAGATAGATAGATTGATAGATTGATAGATTGATAGATTGATAGATATATTGATAGATAGATTGATAGATAGATAGATAGATAGATAGATAGATAGATAGATAGATAGATAGATAGATTGATAGATAGTCAGTCAGGCAGACAGATACGCTACCAGAAAGCACTCTGAAAGCTTCTAGTCTAGATATGGATGGAGACACACCAAACAAATTAGACACACCAAATAAATTAGATAAACACAAAAAACGTGACCGCTCAGCCAGCATTTTAAGCCAGCTGGCCTTAATTTTTTAAGGCCTCTAAGTTCTTTGACCTTTTTTTCTTGTTTGCAAACAAATATGGATGGTCGAGGCATTCTAGATTAATAGAAACATCCTAAAAATCGTGACCATGTCCAGCTCTATCTAAGCTAGCTGACTCATTGAAGACGTGCTTTCGTCTGGTCATACGACAACGCTTGAAGACGCCCTGTTTGAGTAACTTTACAAAAGCTTGGTTACTTACCGTACAGAGCTTTCATTTTTGTTTATTTAATTTGAAACGCAAAAAGCGAGATAACAATTACATGCATACAAAAAATATGTAAATTTGTGTTTCTCATTTGAGTATGATCGTTCAAGATATGCATTACATTGTCTTTTTGTCTACTGTTGGCCGGACGTATATGCCCGCTACGTCCTCCGTGAGCTAGTCTTACATTTCGAGCCCTTTAAGGTTCTCTCTAACCTTTTCCTTCCTCAGCTGTGTCTGATGGGGCCCAACAAAAACATTACTTCCGTGATCCCTTTAATAACAGCCATTTTTTTTTAACAATCCAGAAAGTAATTCCTCAGTAGAAAGTCACATTAATTTTGTCTCAGTTTCATACCCACCATTAGGGAGAGGGTGGTGCGTTTTGGGGTTTTGGTTTTTATTTGTTTGGGGGGGGGGGTATTGCTTTTACTTTGTTCGTTTTGGGTTGTTGGCTTTTTTTTTCTTTTTTTTTTTTCATTGACTTATCTTTAAATGTGGCTTTTTGTACACCTCCATCGACACAATTTAGGTCACATAGGAGGCAGGTGTCTGCCCTGCCTGTCAGTGTCAGGACCAACCGAGGACGAGAAGGATACAACGTCCAGGCAGAAAGACAAAACCTAAAAAAAATACTAAATTCTTCCCATAAAAGGAAATCAAACTCAGGTCTACAGTGCGCGACAGTGAAGCATCTTACCGCTACACCACAGCCACCGGTAGTACACCAGTAGATCATCATCATCATCATCATCATCATCATCATCATCATCATCATCGATCATCATCATCATCATCATCATCATCATCATCATCATCATCATCATCATTTATTTGTTTTGTTTTGTTCATGTTTTTCTTTTGTTTTTGCATCATCATATGGCCGGCGCCTAGAGCCTGTCCCTCGGGTCATGGTAAGGTGACCCCAGCTACATGACATGCAGAAAGGGTTTACTTTAGCCCCCCATTCGGAGCTTACTTGACCTACCACACACATCCGAGGTCAACACTCTCTGTGTCGGAACAACATACGGGTAACTGCTACCTTTTCCTTTCCTCATCCTTACTATAGTCTGGTGACAGAGGGACGTCTCTTTCTTCCCGCGACACCCAAAAGGGTTATAAGCGGCGGATAAAAGTAAATTACTAACGTCATTTTCCTCTACTTCTTTTGTTTGTTTGTCACTCTCTTGTGAACTGCTATTTCCGGGGTGCCTTGATAATCGAAGCAGACTTTGTGCTGTTGAGGCTAGAGAGGTGAGCAGGGTAAACTTGATTCCCCGTTTGGACTTCTTGGTTGACATCCACCCCTTGGCGTTCATAATGACCTTATGCAGTTGCGAGCGCCGTAAAACCTTACTTTTTTAAAAATATATTGTGAGGAGACGTGAAGGAAGTTGGGACGTCAAGCATGAATGACGATTTGACTCTAAATTATTCTAAAAATCGGAATACGAAAAGATAAAAGGGGAGGGCTGTATATTATAGTCTCTTTTTTTTCGAATTGTTTGACTTAGTGCGCAATTTCCAGGGTCACGGTGGAGTTTGCAGCTGTGTTTTACTAATTTATAGAAACTAGAAAAGGCTGGCTGTGGTTTTTGTTGAATGTATAGGATTATAATAGGTATACTTAGTTTTTGCAAGGAACATCTTGTACATCTCCTAACAGGGACAGAGTTGTTAACATACGTAGACCTACGTTGTCAACAGAATTAAATTATTCTAGATAGGGCGTACTACTTAAAAGTGGTTTCGTATTACTTCTTTCACCACTATCTGTTTATATGTCCTTTTTCTGTCTGTCTGTCTGTCATTTTATCTGTCCCCCGTCTCACTTTCTCTCCCCCCCTGTCTCTCTCTCTCTCTCTCTCTCTCTCTCTCTCTCTCTCTCTCTCTCTCATCCTCTCTCTCTCTCTCTCT